GAAACTAGTACAATGACTTCAAGGGATCTTTAAAGCTGATTTACATCAAACAGCAATCCCCATGTGGCATGAGGAACTGCTTTCAAAATGGTAGGGAGTTTCAAAAGCAGTTTGTGCAATGGTGTGGGCAGATCAGCTAATGCTGTGAAAGAAAATAGTTAAAAGACTGGGGCTGTTGGAATTAAAAAAGGGATGTGTGAGTCAGCAAAGCTGACCCACATCTCGCTTTTTGTTTTAATTCAAAGCAAAACTCAAGGTCCTCAAGGTTCACCACATTCCCCATGAATATTGGTACATATTTCAAAAATGTGCACATTTTCACATTTTCATCTACTGGTTTAAGCATGTTTGTGTACATTTCTAAAAGTATACATTTTAATGAATTTTCAATTTGTTCTGCAAAAAGCACCAGAAATGTACGAACTTTGATTGCAGATTGCATTTGGGTCTGTGTTCAGTTCTGGGAAGAAAAAAAATGGATAAATGGAAAAAAATGGATAAATTCCAGTAAAAAATGAAGTAAATTTTTCATACAACTCTAGTATATTGCAGTCAGTCATTAGACCAAATTGATTCCAAGGAGATTATGTTGCTGTGTAATTCTGCACAAGATTGCAGTTGTAGGAGCACAAGTGTGTAAAATTTATTGGACAATTATGAAAACGCAACATTAATTTTGAAGTACCACAAGCAGGCAGATATTCTAATATATAATGATTGTTTAATGAAATTTGTTAGAGCATAATCCTTTGGCCTCCTAGCATTGTCTGGAAGGCCTTAGGATTCTTTGGATCCTAGGAAAGAGCCATGCTGGTTGCCTCCCTACAAGGTTTGAGCCATAGAGACAGGAAATTAAGCTGTTCTGGGGTGGGGAAGAAAGGAGGCTGAGGCTGAGGGCTGATAATAATTCTTAATCCCAGACTCCAATGCAGGGTGTGAGGGAATGCTGTTACTACACATCACTCCTGCCATGGAATGACCAAAAGCCTTCAGGTTCAGAAGCCTGTGTGCATCTGCCTTAGTGGAATCTCTACCCCCACCAAAACCACCTTTGATCAGAAGTAATATAATCCAATTACTTGAGTAAATTTTGGGAAACATAACTCAGGCAGAGATGCTCAGTCACAATAGCCTGGATCCAAACAACTGTACAAGAAACTATACACATACATGCACAAATCCTTCCTGTATCTCAAGCAAACAACATTATCATCCCATGGCAAGCCTCTGTAATACTCATAGACGTTGTAATATGGCACTGTGGTTTGCTGTGGCCTCTGTCTTTTAAAAGAGAAATCATGAGAATTTTAAATGGGAACCTCTAAAGTAATACTTGGATCCTGTCATTATATTGTTGTTGGTACCACATAAGAGCCCTACTGGGTCAGAACAAGGGTCCAGCTAGTCCAGCATTCTGTTCACACAGTGGCCAACTAGTGGTCCAAGGGACCCCACAAGCAGAAAGAAGAGTTCAGCTGCTTCATCCTGCCCCAATTCTACAGCAACTGGTGTGCACCATTTGTGAATGTAAGAACAGAGAAATTGCTATGCAATGAGGTGATCAATAGACCAATAGAATCCCAGTCCAGATCTCCATTCCCCAAAACAAGGTACAGATACTTGAAACTAGTCAAGTGCTGAATGGGGTATTTGACTGGGGAATCAAAAACCCTATGGAACAAGCAATTATGATTAATAATACTTTAAATAAAAAATTATACCCAGTTCTGCTTCCACATTCTTAGGAACAGAGGTATGGGATAGCACGTGCTTACCAATGCACACACAAGATTGATGGAGATCTTGCAAAAGAGAAAAAAGAAAAAAGAAAGATAAACGACACTACAAGAATATAGAAAAACCTGGAGGGGGGATATTAATTGCACCTATACATTTGATAAATATTTATTTATTTTGTGCAGAAGAAAAATGCATACTAGTTTAAACTGTCATTATGCGAACCTATATCCTATTTTTCATATTATTAGCAATACATAATGTGGTAGTTTATATTCAAAAATAAAACCAAAATGTATATACCTCATGTATTTATCCAGAAACACACCAAGGTTACTATGGTTACTGAAAATCCATTACCTTTGAATACAGAATGAAAAAGTTTGACTTAAAGTGTGCACTATTTATTATAGTATACATCAACAGCCTTCAGGGGGTTCTCTAACTGGACTCATTTTTCAGTGTCAAAAATGACCCACCACACTAGTAGCTTATGGGATGTGCATGGCAAGAAAGTTTAACTGAATGTATTGTAAGATATTCTCTACAAACTCAAAATGCAGAAATGCTAAACATATAAAGACCTTGTGTTGGCAGAAAATGAGCCACTTTTTGATCCACAAACTCATTAAGCCTGAATTGTGGCCATTGAGGCTTCTAAGTACTGTCTTTTATTATGTTAAAGCTGACCAGCCAGAATTAGCCTTGCAATACAAAGGAAGCAATATAAAGGATGTTAACAGGAAGCATCCAATACCTTAATAAGCCCCCTAACAGTGGATGTTAATTCTGCCCAAGTTAGGAGTTGATTCCAAATGTATTTTCCCTCTTTCCTTCCCTACCAAATGGAATTGGTGTCACCCTCAGGAAAACTGTTTCTGGGCCACATGGCAGGAGCACTGAATGTTACTTAGTTGGTCAGCTTCTTTGATCTGGCATTAGACTAGTGGGCTGATTAACTGACACACATCACCTCTGATCCCCTGCCCTTGTTCCACGGTGTGTCCTCCTGATTCATCCCCAGGGGTCCCATCATCCAGCCTGTCTCCTTTGCTTCTCCAAGTCAACAACCTTGGCTTCAAGAGAACAGGAGCTCATTATACTGAGCACACACACATGATTTCTGTCCAGCTGGAAGACAGGCATACATGTGACACTCAGTGCAATACACTGGATTGCCCCCATACCCCTGCTGGTTTCCTGCCTTCATAATTGGTTTAATTGGTAGAAGCAGTTTACCTGAAAAACTTAGGGGATGTTGGATTCTATCAAGTTCCTTTATTTAGTGTACTGGAAAGGACTGTGGTTCCTTGTGCCTTATCCTCCTGAACAGCAAAGGCAACAGAGTCCCATGCCCTGGCCTCCTTGCCATGTCTCCAACTCATTTGTGGGCTGAGACTCCTTGTCCCTGGAGCTGAGCGACTTTGTCAGTGGGGACTGGAGTGCTCAGAGCTTTTGTCCCATAAAGGAAGAAAATGCTGTCTGAAAAAGAGCAAGATTCCTGTGGTGCTCTGACCAACCATGCACAATCATCAAAAGTGGAATGTATTCCCACTATTATCTAATATGTAGAACTTCAAATGTAGAACCTTCAAATGCAGGAGTGTTTAAGAAAGAGTGTCTCGATTTACTTCCACATTGACTCAATGAATGCATTCCAGTAATGACAAAGAGGTTACATTTCTCAACAACTAAACAATTGAGCAATGCAACAGGTGGTCATGCAACTGACTAGAGGAAAGGGACCTGTGATGAAATCCTAAATGGTGTCACCCAGGACCTAGTACAAGACAGGAGTTTTGTTGAGCCAATTAGAAGCAGGGACCATAGGGCTACTGAACACACACACACACACACACACACACACACGAGAATGATTGGGAGGGGATTACAACACAATCAGAACTGACTTCAAGACATTTTTCCCTTAAAATGCACTAGTAAAAAGGAAGCTGAAAGGTGGACTCGAAAGTGCTAAATACTTTCAAAATGCTTGAAGGCTACTCAAAATCACAATGAATGAAGCTAGGGTGGAATTGTATGCCACAAGTTAGGAAAGGTAGCACCAACTCCAAGAGATTGCCAGCATCACTAACAAGCAGTGTCAAGAGGGATGCTTCTTTTTCTTCTTTAAATAACTCTTCCTTTAGAAAATGGAAGTCTTGCCCCAATGAGGAAAAGAAAAGGAAGCCAGCTTTCTCAAAGGAGATGAAAGTAGAGATTAAGAGATATGAAAGTATATTGCTAATGACATGAAGGCCAACAGTAAAGTGTTCTTTAAACAGGAAATAAGCTAGAGAGGCAATTGGACTGGTAATGAAATGAGAAGCAATGTAATGAAAGGAGTACTGAAGGAAGATAAGCAGATTGTCAAGAAACTGAACGTATTATTTTAATTTGTCTTCACTACAGAAGATAGTGTACTATCACGTCTTCACTTAACTACTTGACTCTGAATGAATGTTTTTTAGGATGGGCATCTGAGGGACTCACGAAAATAGTGGTGACAAAATATGAAATTCTCAGTCTTATTCCCAAAATTGATGATCACCAGGCCCAGATACTATCCATTTTAGTTTATAAAGAACTCAAGCATGGAATTGCTGATCTTCTAACTCAAATATTAACATGTTCCTAAGATCAGCTTCTGTATCAGAGGTATGAAGAATGCCCAATATAACACCAAATTCTGAAAAGGGACCTAGGAGGGATGTTGTAAATTAATGACTCCCTGTGCTGGATAAATCAGTTGAAAGCATTATTAAAGATAAAATTAGAAATCATATAGAAAGACAAGCTTTGCTGAAAAAGAATCCATATGGCTTCTGTAGACTCCTGTCTTACTAAGCTTTATAGTTCTTTGAGAGTGTGAATGAACACATGTGCAGGACTGATAAACATGGTTTACTCAGACTTTGCAAAGTCTTTTGGAAAAATGTCTCACCAAAGACTCCTAAGCAAATTCAGCATTCATAGAATAAGAAAAGTCAGTAATTGGTTATACAAAATAAAGCAGAGAGTAGGAATTAGGGGTAAAGTCTCACGGTGGACACATGCAAATAGTTTTTAGAAGTTTTATGAAGGGAATTACTCTTAAAATTTCTGTGAAATTAGTTCTTGCTATTACTATGACAGAACATACATAGGAATCGGCTTTATATGTTCCAAATTGCCAGATGCTTGAATTTGTTATAAAACATAAAAAGGGCAAAAATATCTACTACAGTATGTATAACATATACAGGTCTTCCAAAACAACTCACCCTTGACAATATGATTGGTTTCATTTCCGGTATAAATTAGTTGAGCATTCATATATAAAAAATATTGTGTTATAATCCCATTTGGAGTTCTTGGTGGGACCCAATTCAACAATAACGATGTGGGGAATGAAACAGCTGTGGGTGGCTCAACATTTTCTGGAGCTGAGAAAAGAAATGAATGAAAAACAACAACAAATTTAGGTTTACATTCAAGCAAGTACTAAGACTGAAAACTTTGACATTTTGGACTACTTAGGTATTTATGATTATGCCTTGAGCATAACCATATCAAAAATAAAATTCAAATATATTTAAAATGTATTTTTTATAAAGTCTAGACTACTTTTCCATTTTGACAAATACACAGAGTATTGCACAGCTAATAAATAATACACTGTGTACAAACTACTATGTAGCTACCTGCATTCTTATTCCAGTCCAATTCAAAATGAATGTTACAAGTACTCCCCCCACCCCGGGCAGGCTGCTTGGGTCTTGCTGAGCCTGAGAGACCCGTGGAGTGGGAAGCGCTAAACTTGCATGTCTTCTGCTATATCCACTGACCTCCACCATCTTACCCACTGGAGGTACCATTAACATTCTACCATTGCTACTGCTTGTGGATCAGCCTTGTAGCTCTGAGAAGACAATCTGATCATTCACAGTCTGATCAGCCTTTTGGGTAGCATCAGCCAATACTGGTTGGCCATGTGCATGTTAAATGATGAATGGTTCAATAGGGAAATGCTGAAAGCTGGAGGGTATGATTGTTGTCAGTCTTCTGTAACATCAATGTATTGTTACTATGCATGCACCATGAGCTTCTCAAAATAGAAACTGCTTACATTGACTTTGTGTCCAATCCTTCTGAGGGATAAAACACATGTTCCCTATGGCTTTATTTGATTTTTGTGAAGGGAAAAAAATCATTACATACATGACAATACATCTGCATAAATGAGATTGTTTTCTGAATCAACTTTAGAATGGCTTTTTCAACTGCCACATGCATTTTGAAGAGAAAAATAAAATTATAACTTAAGGAGAGTCCAAAATGTTTATTTTCATTAAAGGACATGGAAACACTGGGGTGGTGCATTTATGTATTTGCAATTTATTTTGCTTTGTTTTTTAAGACATCCATGAATAATTTAATTCTTATTGACAAATGATAGTACAGCATTAATTTATCAATTCACTAAAGTATCAGTGAGTGCATTTAGAACACCCTAGGATATGCTAACTGGATTTAGGGATTTGCAATGGGACTTAGCATCGTAAGGGACTTCAGCAATACAGGGCACATTTCAAAGTAATACTCCTAGAACTAAACTAAGAGTGGGCAATTTGCAACCTTTCAGATGTTTTTAGTAAACAATTCCATTGTCTCTCAATCATGGCTATACTCACTAGGACTAATGGGAGTTGAAGGCCAAAACATCTGGAAGGTCACAAATTTTCCACTGCTGATCTAATTTGTGAATTATATCTGGAAATGGATTTTCATAAATAGCAGATACCACCCAGGCGCCCAGTCCAAAATTACTTTAAAGAAGCATCAGAAGGAACAGCTGGAATTTGAAGTTGTCCTTCAGCAACAACTGGACACCAGACTGGAGGCACATATGGCCATTGATCACAATCTTCTGTACTTTGTTGATATATACTGTATTTCTTTTAAAATTATAACTATTTATAACTTTGCTTCTATGCACTTTAAAAGCATAGGTAAAGTTTATACAAATTGGTCCCCTATTTTTTTTTTCTTTTCTTTGGTGACACATTTCTTCTTCTCTGGCAAATCATAAGGTACCATCCTATCACACAGCAATGTTCATAAAACCAAAGCCTATTTTAATTATACTAATGTGCATTCCCAGAATGGTGCTATCATTCAAATGGGAATGCTGGGATAAGATCCCTGTCCCCAAGCAACAACTCAGAGACACACCTGAATTGCGGGCGATGAAGCAGGTTGGGAGACGGCTAGAGCGCAGGTGGAGGAAATCACGGGATGAATCTGACCGAACACACTTGAGAGCCCACTATCGGGCCTATGCTGTGGCGGTGAAGGCGGTGAAAAAGAAGTTTTTTTCCGCTTCCATTGCCTCCTCACAATGCCGTCCGGCAGAGCTTTTTCGAGTGGTGCAAGGCCTGGTTCGCCCGGGTCCTAAGGAAGATCCGGTTCCACCCTCGAAGGCCCGCTGTGACGACTTTGCCAGGCATTTCAGGGAGAAAATCGCTCAGATTCGTCATGAGCTGGACACCACTAATGAATCAGAGGTTTCTGGGGAGACGCCAATGCTGCCGTCTGGTCCAGAATTATTGGATGAATTTCAGTTATTGCAGCCCGATGATGTGGACAAGGTGCTTGGACGAGTACATCCCACCACTTGCCTATTGGACCCTTGCCTGTCTTGGTTAATAAATAATTCCAAGCATGGGACTGGGACCTGGATCTTGGAAGTGGTTAACGCTTCTCTGAGGGAGGGTCGGGTGCCTGCCCCTTTAAAGGAGGCAGTAGTCCGACCGGTCCTGAAGAAAGCGTCACTGGATCCAGAGATGGCCACTAACTATAGACCTGTGGCCAACATCCCATTTCTGGGCAAGGTGTTGGAGCGGGTGGTGATGGGACAACTCCAAGCACTCTTGGATGAAACTGATTATCTGAACCCATTTCAGTCTGGCTTCAGACCCGGGTACGGTACTGAATCTGCTTTGGTCGCCCTGTATGATGACCTGTGCAGGGAGAAGGACAGGGGGCGTGCGTCCCTGTTGGTTCTTCTGGACCTCTCAGTGGCTTTCGATACCATCGACCATGGTATCCTCCTGGATAGGCTAGCGGGATTGAGGGTCGGAGGCACTGCTTTGCAGTGGTTCCGCTCCTATCTCAACGGCCGATACCAGAAGGTGGTGCTGGGGGACTATGACTCTGCGCCATG